TGCTAAGAGATATCTGTGATGGCTAATAACACAACCAGATTGGCCTGTTGTCTTCATCTGTCACTATGCTGTGGAACAGACTTCTGGAATAAATATTACATCGTCAAGTTTTAAAACGTGTTATGCTCCGACCAGTAGAGGGCACTGCTCTATTTTTACAGACAGGAAGTGGTCGCTTGTTGGAACAAAACACTGGTGTTTTGAAAATATCGCTTCTCGAATTAAGGTTGTACATAATGGCAGAGGACGCAGAAGTTGGTTTGTCCTCACGAACTGAGAGGAAAGCGCTCGAAAGGGAAAAAATACTGCAGCGGGAGAGAGAGAGAAAGATTCTCAGATTGGTAAGACGACCAAAAACTCACATTTCGACTGGTCCGGGGCTAGCTGCCTGTCTATAGCAACATACTACGCTAAATTATTTCTTCTGTTTTACTGAAGATTGGACACGTATTAAAAAAACCGCAGGCTGAGAGGTCGGAGGAGGAAACCGCTGTGCTGCTTCGTCACAAAGACGCCGTGGAGGATTTAAGCAGGAGACATGTGCGGAGAAATGTTCTTAAGAAAAGACAGGAAGAGGTTAGGCAAAAAAAAGAAAAAGAAAAAAGAAGCCAATTCAAATGACTGACCACTTATTTAAAATAATGAATTACGTGATGACTAAATACTATGTAGCGTTAACTTTTATCGATGCAAATGGCGCAGCATAACACTATTTGCATTAACGTACAAACGCAGTGAGTGATATTGCAAAAATATCTTGTTGTTATCTTTAAAATATTTTTCAAAGAATCTTCAGGGAAAGACAAAACATTGAGAAATCAATTAATTTATGCAGATTTACCAGGTCAAAGGTAGTCTGGGTTTATGAAGGTAACAAAATGCTATGGGAATATAATGAATTAAACTCCTCAAATATTAGAATAGAAAACATAATTAAAATAGAGAACATAACTACATTCACTACATAAGAATTAATAGAAAATAATTAATCGTGTCTTCCTGTCGTTTCTCTAGGTTTGTGATGATCCTGAAGAACTGAGAAATAAAGTAAGGCAACTTGCTCAGGCAATCAAACAAGCCAATCATCTGGTTGTTTACACTGGAGCTGGAATTAGTACGGTACGGTAACAACTATTTATTGATATACCGATATTGTCCAAAGTTTTAATTTCCGATTCCAACATCAACTGATACCAATGTAGACCTGGTAATATTTATTTATTTATCTGTACAAACCACTGTATGAGTTTGAGATTAATTAAATGAGATGCAATGCTGCCACCTAGTGACTTTCACTTTAATATATTTCACCCCAAAAGTATTTTTAGGGCATAGCGTTGCGCAATGGGGTTTTCATTATCGGAGGAAAAACCTATAACAATCAGGTGGCCGACACTATCGGACATCCCTAGGCTACTGAGATAAAGCATTATTTGCATTTTTATGTCTGTTAATGCAAAAAGTTTGTTTTGTTTTTGTAACTATTGTCTTTACATTGAACTGATCCTTGGGGCAAGAAGGTTGGGAACCCCAGGTGTATAATACAACCAACTGCATCTTTACTTGTTATCTATTTGGTGTTAGTTTGTATTGTCTAACAGGACTATTTACGTTTTCATTTTAGGCTGCTTCTATTCCAGACTACAGGGGCCCTAATGGGGTATGGACTCAGCTCCAGAGGGGATGTAGAGTCAGGTAGGAATGCCTTTGTTTCCATGACATATCATCTTAAACATTCTCCAAAATAACTGTTTTCTTTTGTTTTCAACTTTAGTTCATCTGACCTGAGCAGGGCCGAACCGACCCTTACACATATGTGTATTAGTAAGCTTCATACAGAAAACATGGTATGCACATATTTTATTGTCAAGACATATTGTCTAAGTAGCCCTGTAGGGGATTTACATCATTTATCTCATCTTTTATTTTGTGAAGGTTAAGCATGTTGTGTCGCAAAATTGTGATGGACTCCACCTGCGCAGTGGTCTACCCAGAGGTGCCATGTCCGAACTCCATGGCAACATGTTTATTGAGGTAAATGACATTCTCAGGTTACTTGATCATTGTCAGCTTTTGTAATTGACAAAAATACTCTTATCTATTTTTTTAAAAAAATGAACAATTTGTTGAGCCTCATATTTTATTAATTATTATTCATTTTTTATTGTCAGTCAGCACAATCAGCTGATATGACATCATGGCAATTAAATCTTTAATTTTTGGGGTAAAGTACTATAGAGCATAATAGAAAAGTTCAACAATTCTACCAGAAATACTTCTATGAATGACAATTTCCTTCTTTTTTTTCTTGGGCAACCCAGTCACATGATTTAATCTCAATATTTTTGGAAAAATCTTTCAATTATATTTTCTTCCTCGTTGTGAAATTAGTGTAAAATTAGTGTAAATTTAGAAAAAAATAACAGATTCTCACCAGGCTACATCTGGCGCCTCCAAGTGGCAGCCTGTTATAACAGATCTGCTGTTAACACATCAATTTCCCCTATGTGGGATCAATGAGGTTCATAAAATTAAATTTAAAAAATGGAAATCATAATAATCATAATGCATAATTTGTTGCAGCTGTTATGAGACATTGTATTCTGATGCAGTTTATATTTCTTTTGAGTTGGTCGTATCATTTTATTCCACTGTTATTATTCCTCACATATTGATTCTGTGAATATATGACCAGTGAAGAATGTTCATTCCATACTCTGACTACTGTATTGATAATATTTTATTGTGCAAGGAAATTGGACTTGTGGTAATATTACGTAGTCCTAAAATTCTTTTTAAAAGTTTTCATCTTTTTTTGTCCATGATATTTTTAGGTTTGCGTAACCTGTTCTCCAGCGAGGGAATATATTCGTTTATTTGATGTGACGGAGCGGACATCGCTTCACCGGCATGGGACAGGTCGCAAGTGCAGCCATTGCGGGAGTGAACTCAGGGACACCATAGTGCACTTTGGTGAACGTGGGACATTAGAGCAACCGCTGAACTGGAAAGGAGCATCAAGGGCTGCTGAGTTCGCAGATGTTATCCTTTGTCTGGGTTCCAGTCTCAAGGTATTTTCTCTTTAACTACATTGAATTTCTAAATGTAAATATCTAAGTAGAAAAAAGAGAACTTTATTGATCCCACACTGGGGAATTTTTTGTGTCAGATCTACTGCTGCCACACCTAAAAATGTAGTTCCCCTGGGGCTCGAACCCAGGACCTTCTGCATGTAAGGCAGGTGTTTAGGCAAATATAGTAACTGCTACACTATGGAGCCACTAAGAAGAACTTTTTTCTAGTGTTATGCCCATGATACTTATGTATGGTAAACCATACCAAATACTAAATCCTAATATTTTTATTAGGAGCAATAGTAGTACAATTGAAGGATGTAAAATACACATAATTGTTCTGATTTATTAAATATTTATACTATTATGTAGTATCTCTGGGTGTTCATCTTCTAGGTGCTGAGGAAGTACAATTGTCTGTGGTGCATGAATAGACCAGCAAGCAAAAGACCCAAACTGTACATCATCAACCTGCAGGTAACGTCTCTCGGGGCGGAGGACGGTACTTTAATTGTTGTCTTGAAGGCAAATAAATAACTGACCTTTGACAGATGATGTTGTGTGCTTGTTCTAGTGGACAGCGAAAGATAATCTGGCTGACCTGAAAATTAATGGCAAGTGTGACGATGTTATGACTCTCCTGATGAAAGAGCTAAACTTAGACCTTCCTGGATATGACAGGTAAGGGCTCTCGGACGAAATGAAAATAATAATAAAGATGGTTACATTTGAATTGTGTAAAGAAATGCACATATATATATATATATATATATGTATATATGTATATATGTATATATATATGTGTGTGTGTATATATATATATATGTATATATATATGTGTGTGTGTATATATATATATATGTATATATATATGTGTGTGTGTATATATATATATATAAAAAAACATTGTTTTCAAATGGTACAAGTAATGATTGCTGGTTTATTTGTTGTCTGTGTTATCAGGGCTCAGGATCCCATCTTTACTTTAGCAACACCTCTGTTACCTGAAGAGGAAGACAGCCATAACCGTGAGGTCATAACTTTGGAATGTAGGCCACAAGAAGACCTTGGTGAGGCTGAACGACATGCAGCAGAGACTAAGGTTGTGCAAGGTGGCTGGTTTGGCAGAGGCTATGGAAAAGGAAGAAGAAAGAAAAAAAAAAAGTATAACTAAAAATACTTTTGTAGGCTGTTTATATTGTGTCATGTTACTTCACTCATGACCTAGCCCATTTTTTTTCATTCACTACTCCAAGTACTCTCTGTGGACTTGGAGAAGTGGTTATGGTGTTCTGAAAAGGGTATTGCTTGTTGCTAAATCATCAGTTCGATCGAACAGTTCCTAGTTGTTACATTTTTACACTAGGGTTGTGACAAGATCTAGTGGCACTAGATCAGGGGATATTAAAACATCAGTATGGTTGGTATGGTTCGTAATAAATGGTATGTTTAAATATTTTGCTGCAATACAGTACTAAAAACTGATCCTTGGTGCTCCTCGACCTCTACAAAGAGCGCAACGCCTAGGTTATAAAAGTCCTGAAGTGGGCAGAGAGAATTGCTTTAACATCTGATGGTTGGTCTTCCAGTGGAACTCTGTTTACAGCTCACACTAGCAACTGGGGAATGCAAAATGTGGTCCTGTAAACTGACACACTTTTTAATGTCCAAACATCATTTTATATATTATTGGATATTATTGGAAAGGAATGTGACCATGCAATACAGTATTTATAATGACTAAATTAACTGACTAATTTAAACTGACGGTATTTCTTTAGGAATGATTTGCACATTTTTTCCAAGCAAAAATATTTATTTCATTTTTTATAGTGTAAAGGTTTACATGGAAAGTTGTAGGATCACACATGGCTGCAATTCAAGGATCACGACTTTAGTTCTGAAAAACAAATCAGTTCTTTTGTCGTTTAATAAAACTTCTTTTTTTTAAGCATGCATGTCTAATCTAATCATAAATATCATCTTGATCTAGTGAGACCAGTATTGTTTATCGTCTTGTCTTGTAAGCTAAGTCTCTCATGCCACCCTATACTCATCAAAAACGCATTGCTAGACAACAATAGAGATTGTTTTAAGTGATTACTTGCTGCTATTAATTTAATTTTAATAATGACTTTAAAAGCAGGATGTTTTATACTTTTATTTTGTTACTGCAGTATGAACAAAAGTGCAATAAATGTTGGTTTGCATACACTTAATAATTATACAAATAAGGTGCTTCTTAACAGTATTCTCTCAGTGTGGTAGCATTTCAATATTTCTTGTTAAACACTAAAGCAATCCAATATGAAATCCAAAGTCACGAACCGGGATTGTAACACAGTACTCTGGTGATACCAAACTTTAACTTGCAGTGGTTACAACTGTTTGTCCAACAACATTTTTACACGTTGTAAACACCAGAAATGTACTGTGTTGTATGTTGTATTGATGAGAGTCCTGTGCAATTGTTGGTAAATTGTATTACCAACTATTGTGATGGTGAAAAGATGGTTAATGATGGTGATGGTGAAATGATGGTTAATGATGGTGATGGTGAAATGATGGTTAATGCTGTTGCTGCTTCAAACGGTTGCTGCTTCAAACGCTGCTTCAAACGCTCAGCAAAAGACAAACTGGTGCAGTGATTTTCCTAAGGGTTGGCCAAACTCTTTCATCCCAGTAGAAATCAAATCTGAGTCGTAGGTCTAGGCAGTTGTGGTGAAGTAGAAGATGCTATAATCACAGTACCAGCAGCATCAATTTCATCCAAACAACCCATCACTAGTATCCAGTAGGCGTGTGATGAGGCATTCAGCTGTACACGTGTAATATAATTATGTTTTTGTGTATGTATAGACATTCATTTTCCCTTTGCAAAACTTAAAAGCAATTTTGTTTTGTTTTTCCTAGAACATTTAACAGTCAGGGCCATTTATTTGAGTTTAAATTCTTTAGAATCCAAACTTAGAACAAAGCGGTCCTACGGCGGATGACAATTTGTGTGTTCCAACTGGTTTTTCCACTTTCCGTCCAAATTGGATAAAATTAATAACCTGAACCTCCTCACCAGACATATATATGGTTTGGAACACACTGTTGACGTTGGACGTTGCGTCACTTTGCGTCACTTCCGCCAGCGAACGACTTCCGGATTATGTTAAACAGCCTCACCCTGTAACCATCTTCAACTTCGTACGGGCTTGGGTGTGACGCAACGAAACTTACTTACGCAATTTTCCATTTCTGTCATTACTTTAACAACCAACTGTTAAGAAAGACTAAGAAGATGATTAAAAACGGAAACCACACCACTGAGGACGAGCGAGATGGAGCTGGGTGCAGTAAATCGGCAGGTTCGGAGTGCAGCTCAGAGAAAAGGAAGCGCTTTATCCGCGTGTGGTGTGACGGTTGGTATGTGTCTATAATGGGTTGTTAACCCATTATATTCAGCGTCATAAGCCCATGCTAATGAAAACGTTATTACGGGACGTGGTTGGTTAGCTTTTTAGCGTTAGCATAATACAGTCGTTTAATAGACATTGCATTTCTTGATAAAAACAGATTATTAACGTATGACAGTTCACGTCTTTATAAGAAATACAGCCAACCCAAACAAGGGTGGACTGATCCTTGAACCTTGGTATTTTGCCAGGAACTTTGTTTTGCCACAACCATGCCACTCAAGGTGTATCTTTAAACTTTTTAATCTTAGCTGTTCCTCTAATCTGCTAATACATAATCCTACCTGTCCTGGTCACTCACCGTAAACATTTTAGTATTGTCAACTCAACCACTTGTAGCTCTATCTATTTCCTGCCATCCTTTCACACTTCACCCCTGACACTCCCCTGCTGTCATTTTTAACCTTGTTAGTTTTTAAAGGGTTTTCTATGTACATTTTGACTAAATTATAGTTCTTATCTCTAAGCAATTGTAGAATGAATTTTATATCATGCTAATTATCTATTGTGTTTGTCACAGTTACGACATGGTGCACTATGGTCACTCCAACCAGCTACGTCAGGCTAAAGCAATGGGCGACTGTCTCATAGTTGGTGTTCACACTGATGGTAAAATACATTCAGATTCTGATTTACTCCAGTCATATTCTTATATAAACCTAAATGACACTACTTACATTTGCTGTGTATTTGATTGATAGATGTAATGTTCCTAAACATAAGTATTTTTCCCTCTTCAAACTACCTGTGTTTACATAACAACTACCTTACTAGTGTTACATACAATGTAAGAACTGTAGAAATTATCTCTTTCAATCAATTTGCATTGTTGCTCGTGATTTAAGAGCAATTTTAAAGATTTTCAGCACCTCTGCTAAGGTAATTAACCCCCGAAGCTTCCTTAACATACCTCTCCAACTATTTGTTAAAGCTGAGATCTCCAAGCACAAGGGTCCTCCAGTTTTTACTCAGGAAGAACGGTATAAAATGGTGCGGGCAATCAAATGGGTGGATGACATTGTGGAAGGAGCCCCTTACGTCACCACCCTGGAAACCTTGGATAAATATAACTGTGACTTCTGTGTGCATGGAGGTGAGTTACTTGGTGTTCCTTGTTCCAAACCTTGTTACCTTTCACCAGACATTTCATTCATATAGTCATATATATTTTGCCTTATAAACAATTGTCATTGTTATTAGATGACATTACCCTAACAGTTGATGGCAAAGACACCTATGAAGAGGTGAAGCAGGCAGACCGCTACCGTGAATGCAAACGTACACAAGGTGTGTCCACAACTGACCTGGTGGGACGTATGCTTCTTATGACCAAAGCTCATCACAGCAACTTGGTAAGTTAGTGTATAATATTAATGGTAATCTATTTTGTTTGCTAGATTTCTTTCGTTTAACCTACAGACATTGTTTTTCTTCTGTAGGATAACCCAGATTATCGGGAGCATGCAGATAATTTTGGAAAGGTATGAGCAACTGTCTTTACCTGTGTGCAGAAATTGTGACAATGATTGTAGCTTGTCTCTTTTAAGGGCTAACGTTGGCTTCTCAAATACATAATGATTTGTTTGAATGTCATTCTGGGGCTTGAGAATCAAAACAATTTATTGCCAAATACATTTAACTTAAAAGTAATTGAACTTGAAATATTAGTCCATTATAGTAAAATTAAATTAGGTTATCAGATTAAAGACTAACAGGGAGAGAAAACAGTGGACAGTGTAACATTACAGAAACTAAATAATAAATAAAGTCTGCACTGGCAAACATTAATGTACAGTGAGCTGTATTGTGGAGTGTTTTTTGGGTGGGGTTGGAGACAGGACTGGGATGCTGTTTATGATACTGACAGCAGAGGAGAAGAACCCAGAAGAAGTCGACAAATCACAACAATCCTAGCTTGATGCTAAACCACTAGCACTTAAGAAGAGCCCTGTAGATATACCGTATAATATGTGTGTTTTGATCATTATTATCCTACAAAAACTCATCATTAGTCTTTGGTTCATTGTTGGAACATGTACATAACATTTGTCATTCTAAATTTGTGTTCAAGGGTCCTAAAGGCAACAGTCCATGGACAGGGGTGTCACAGTTCCTCCAGACATCTCAAAAGATTATCCAGTTTGCCTCAGGGAAGGAGCCGCAGCCTGGGGACACAATCATATATGTAGCTGGAGCCTTTGACCTATTTCGTATCTGAATCATGTAGATTTGAATATAGGTACAAAAAAAGCCAATTTTCGTAGTTGTTTCCTTTACAATTAATTCCTCGCAGACATTGGTCATGTTGACTTCTTGGAAATGGTATACAAGCGGGCAGAGCGGCCCTATGTAATTGTGGGTCTGCACTTTGACCAGGTAAGTTCATCACTACGTATATTTGAACACACCTCCACAAATGCAGTTTTTGAATATGAAAATTTTAGCAAAAAGTCTGCTTTAAATTGTTGTAAAACAAAAAAAGAAGTTTCCTCTTCAGAAAGATACTGCCAGGCCCTTCTGTCCAAATTTACCAAATAATGTCCATGTCTCAATTCAACCCCGTTAACGACATTGTCCTATAAAAATGTGGTTTCATAACTTGTGTTTAGTTTTAAAAAGATTTTATTGATGGATATTTTTTATTGATGAAAACCTTTAATTACATGTGTAGTCATTGAGATCTTTCTTTAGCAAGTCAATCGTTACAAGGGAAAGAACTATCCAATTATGAATATCCATGAGAGGACCCTGAGTGTGTTGGCTTGTCGGGTAAGATTTATCTTTGTGATCACCTCACACACACACACACACACAGACAGTAAAAATGTTCATCAAATGAAACAAAGAACTGGCTCCCAAGGGTCTGATTCCCTGCAATTTTAGTCTGTTTGCTTAATTCTGCTTACCCTTTAACTCATTGGCTTAAATTTAAATCAGCCTTAAATTTAAATATAACCTTCGCTGCCGTGGACGTCCATAGACGGCGTTATGTTTTTCAGACGGGCAGGCGGGAGAACGATGTGGCCAAGCTGGTCTATAAATATCAGGCCTGTAAACAGATGAACTGACGAAATGACCCACTAGGTGGCAGCAATGCCACTTTTGATGGGAGATAAGCAGAAACTGCATATATTTGTGAATACATTATTATTTTAATATAACGTGCGGGTTTTCAATTTTGATTTAGCTGTTTTATAAAAAAAAAAATTCAAACAGCTTTTATGCTGATATTTTTAACTTTAGTTAAAAATATCAGCATAAAAGCCTCTGCTGCTACATTTTGGTCAGTCACACTGACGGAGGAATTGCACCAGAATTTTGTGTAACTTAACCAATGAAAGTCCCTGAAAGTATTTCTGTTTCTCATCCTGTTTGTAGTATGTGTCAGAGGTTGTCATTGGTGCTCCCTACACAGTGGACAAAGACCTGCTGGATCACTTCAAGGTCGGTTGTTAATTATGTTAAATTATCTTTTTTGTTTTGTTTTTAATTTTAAAGACTGAGTCTGTGCATGTGTGTAAATATGTTTGAGTGTGTACATATACTGTATATGTCAATATATGTATATACATTTTTATTATATACATTTTTCAATCATTAAGAAAATCACAGGAAAGGAGGAATGCTCTGCTTTAATTAGGGATACCTTGATCCAGTACTCTGGATTGGTATCGGTCCAATATTGGTGAAAATCTCAGGATTGAACAACAACAAAAAACAAACAGTTTTAGCCTGTCTGATCTGATAGTTAGGTCCAAATGTTCAACTTAACTTTGCACTACATGCTGTAAAAAGAGAAGTTATATTGGCTTTAATCTGTCTTAACTGTTGTTTCTCAATATCATCCACATTGCCACTTGGACACCCTACCCTGGAATAACATGAATGTCCAGGCTGATGCCCTAGTTCCCTAGAGCACACTCACCTGTTGCTGCAATCAGTTCTGCCTCTGCCTGTTTCTTTTAGCAAGGCATTCATTTTTGTTGAAGAAATGAATTCATCATTAAGCTCTAAGTGCTCTGAAGTTCAACTGTATAATTGTACAGGTGGATTTGGTGTTTCATGGAAAAACTGAGGTGTTTCCAGACAAAGATGGCTCTGACCCATATACTGTAAGTATCATTTTACGTTTTCCTATTTGTACTACTATGTAGTATATGTTGGGCTGTCAAGAAATTAATTTGTGAAATTAGATAGAGCTTTGAAAATTCAAAATTTCTCCCATTATTTTTCTGAAGTGGTGCACTTTCCTGTTAATGAAGGAGAAAATATATAAAGTGCCCTTCATTTATCGTCATTTTCAGACACAAGACGGACGATATAATTATTAGGTGAAAAGGTTAATGAATGGTTCTGAATTCGTTTCACATTACAATCATTATATATATATATATA